TACTTAATAAAGACCTAAGAAGGTGGCGTGAACAAAATGGATGTCTGGGGACAGGTTTATAGACAGAAGAGCAGCCAGGGCAAATGCTGTGCAGCGAGAGTGCCTGGGGCATCCTAGCCAGAGTGGGAAGGCCAGCATAGCAGAGCACACTGGACCAGGGTGGAAGGGGAGGCTATGTGGACAGGGAGGTACTGGTGAAGGGAGGGTCTGGGTCAGTAGCAATTCATGTAGGGCTTGAAGACATTTGTGAAGACCTTGGCTTCTTACTGGAGTGAGGTGGGGAGTCACTGGGGGGGTTAGGGCCCATGAGAGATGAGAGGGCCTTGGAAGAGGGTATTAGCAGTGTTGGTGGTGGTGAGTGTTCAGGTTTTTGTAGTAGTTAGAGCACATGGGGCTTGCTGATGGGTTGGGTGTGGGGTGAGAATGAGAGGTGTTGAGGATGACTCCAACGTTTTCAGCCTGGGCAAAAGGAAGTTTATAATTATCATTAACTGAGAGGGAAGGCGCTGGGTTGGAGACTATAGTGTGTTCCTCCATTAGGTACAACATGTCATGTGATTGTACTCAGCTATAACAAAATTTTGGAGGTAAAGGAAGGTGTAAGAATCAACTCTGGGTAGGTCATGCAGTAAGGGCGATATTGAGGCAGAGGGCTACCTCTCACTCTATATCCAGTAAGTGGCTGGTGTAGAAAACTTTTTACAGCCAAATCTTATAACCCTTAGATTCTTTAACTTCTTTCTGATTAGGAAGGGACAGAGATTTGAGAAAACATGGATAAAGAGCTATGCAGGCCAAACTCTGTCACAGGCACTGTATATCTTCATTATGAATTAGGGCAATAAAACTTTTATTTTTGCAAAATTATTATTTTTCATAATGGCTACTTTCGTGCTCCTTATTGTGATCGAGTGTTATATACAATGAATATTTGGTTCTATGAAAAAAAAAGAACTGCTGATGAAAAGAATGTGTACATGCTTGTTGAGCTGCTTAATAAATAACTATTTGATGATGATTCTGCAGTATGTTTAAAGGGTAATTCTTCTATTGCTTTAGAGAATTCATTTGACATTCTAAAAATGGATGTAACTTCAAGGGGTGGCCAAAATGTATCAATTAGGTTGACGTCTGGGTCTTTTTAACAGATCTATAAATTTCCAATTTCCTTTGCCATCTTAACCATGGTAAATCATCCTGAACAAGATCATTCTTTTGAACAACAGCCTCCTTATTAGCTGAGATCAATTGAGATTAGAAAATGAAAAATACACTAGATGCTGAGAACGCTTTATGAAACCACATTTGTAGGATGAGTATTGAATGAAGATTAATGTGTTATTTTCAGCTTCTACATCATTGATTTAAAAACTTCTTCTGTATATCCCATTGCTGGATGAAATACGAATTTACATTTGGATGGTTTGCTTGCTTGCAAGTGTTATCTTTTCCCTGTTGAAGTTATGAATTAATGGAAGAGAATGACTTTTAATTCAAATGTATCTTATTTTGCATACCACATGTTTCTAAAAGTGCTACACATTAAATTCGGTAAAATTGATTTTTTTCCATTGAATTATAAATTAATGACTAAATCTTTTGTTTTACATTCTGATTGATTTTCCTTTGTTGTTCGGATAAATACAAGATCCGTAGCACGTTGTGTGGACCATGTGTGATCCGGATTCTGCTTGCCTTTAAAGGTAATCTCTCAGCATTCTCCTCTTCTGTCTCCAACCCCAGCCACCCTTGTTTTCTTTCAAACTCTAATACTTCAGACTCAAGAGTTTTGCACACATTGTCTAAAATTTTAACTCTCTAACACTATCTGCTTTATTTTCTCCACATAACACATATAGTACCTTATTTTCTTAATTAATTAATTCTGTCTTCCCCTAACTAGAAAGTAGACTCCAAAAATGCATGGGTTTTAGTCTTCTTTCTTCACTGCTGAATCTCCAGCATCTAGAACCACGTTGGGTATGTAGTTTGTACTCAGAAAACATGATGGATGAATGAATGAATACCAGTTATCTTGGAATACCAATTTCCCTTCTCTAAACCTCGCTAACATCTATTCATCATTCAAATTCCAGCTTACATGTCATTTTCTCAGGTCACCTTTTTTTTTTTTTTTTTTAAAGATTTTATTTTTTCCTTTTTCTCCCCAAAGCCCCCCGGTACATAGTTGTATATTCTTCGTTGTAGGTCCTTCTAGTTGTGGCATGTGGGACGCTGCCTCAGCGTGGTTTGATGAGCAGTGCCATGTCCGCACCCAGGATTCGAACCAAAACACTGGCCCGCCTGCAGCGGAGCGCGCGAACTTAACCACTCAGGCACGGGGCCAGCCCCTCAGGTCACCTTTTTTTGACTCCTAAAATCAGCTTTCTCTATTATTTGTTGTTATCGTTCTCTGTACTTCCAATTTCTCCATAGAACTTATTAGAACTTTAACTTATAAAGTCCATTATTTGTGAGATCATTTACTTAACTCTTCTTCTCTAAACTGTAAAATGTCTCTATCTTGTTCTTAATCATCTCCTCAACATTTCGCATAATGCCTGAAACACAGAGATGATCAAAAATTATCTATTGAATAAAAACATGCATGGCTGAATGGTTAAGTAACTCCTCATTATAACTTTCAGTGCATCTGTTTCACTTGTTCAACGTTCTCCAAACAAAAAATAGTGGTTAGTGAACCACAAATGAATATTTTCCCATATGAAGAAGTTCTTACTTAAATGTACCCCTCCATGAATTCAACAATGCTCGTAGGATCCCTTAAAGTTAATGCCTCATACCAGCCTCTTCATCCCTATGTTATTTAATTAAATACATACTTAATGGATTTTTCCTTTGGACCAAGCCACACAGAGGGAAAGAAGGTCATGTAAATAGTGAAAAGACCATAAGCTTTAAAACAGAAAGAAAGTTTTTAGGGGCTGGCCGGTGACGCAGCGGTTAAGTGCGCACGCCCTACTTTGGCAGCCTGGGTTCACCGGTTCGGATCCCCGGTGCGGACATGGCACTGCTTGGCAAGCCATGCTGTGGTAGGCGTCCCACATATAAAGTAGAGGAAGATGGGCACGGATGTTAGCTCAGGGCCAGTCCGCCTCAGCAAAAAGAAGAGGGTTAACAGCAGATGTTAGCTCAGTGCTAATCTTCCTTAAAAAAAAAAAAAAAGAAACAAAGTTTTTGGAACAAAGCTCTTCCATTTTGCCTGTGTGAGCTTAGCCAAATTACTGGTTGAGCCTTGGGATCTTCATCTGTCGACTAGAAATAGCAATACCTATTTTGCACAGTTTATGTAGGGATTATTAATAATGCATGTAGTGTGCCTGCCATATAGAAGGTGCTCAAAAGATGACAGGTCTTGCTACTACCAGTAGCAGATAAGTTCCTGGAGGGCAGACTATACTTGCATTCCCAATACCTTATGTATACAGTATTCTTAATAAAGGTTGGTTAAACTGAGCAGCAATAGGAACCGTGCAGAATGTGTGCCACTTCTCAACTCTCAAGGGGCTTAAAACCTAAGGTAGAAAATAAGTTCCGAAACAGATGCATGAAATACCTAAACAATAATCAACTACAATCCTTACTATAGTTTATAATATATGCAAGATTAGAGTAAAATATGTGCTACAGACCATTAAGTGCATTGGATAGCCAGGCAGGAAATGATAAGAGGCGGCTGGCAGTAATTATTGGGAAATGATAGATAAGTCCACATGTTTGTGTGTGTAAGATATATACCAGTAAGTCTCCTATGAAAATGTTCAATTTCTTTGTCAAAATTTGATGCCGACTATACCAATGTTGGATAAAATGGATCAAGCTGCTGCTTCTGTGTTGGTACAACAGCAGACAAATTTGGGTTATTGATCTTGGGTATCAAGGTTTATTTGTCATAGTAATGGTGTTTTTTTCCCCTTTAACAATCAGTGGTTAGCTAATGATCACAAATAGGTTCTGATGATGTTGGGTAATGTTGCTCAAATAGGGCTGTACTACGTGGGGTACATACTGGCCCTTGAAAACTGGAACATAAACTCAGTTCCACATTCTACTTCTTTGTAGTGTGCTCAGCACAGGTTTTCAGTTGTATTGTGTCATCCGTAATCATTATGTATTGCTGTCCTTTCACCTTACCAAACTTTTTGCTTGGGGCTTTAAAAGATGGGGCTGAGATAGGTAACATGAACAAAAGAATGTTTCTTTTCTCTAGGACATTCTCTTCTTTCCGTTACCTGGATGTCTTTGTAAAGGCATTAGACATAGATCTAAACACAACGGCACCCCATAAAAAGTTTTTGCTACACTAGCAATGACACTGACTGCTTCAGATTCCTACTTAGAGAATTGAATGCAACAACCAAACACACTCAGAAATCCTGGCATTAGGAAAAGGGATGACCACCATCTTTTACCCACTTAAAGCCGTGTAAGGAGGATCTAGAATCGACCCATGCCAGCTGGCAGCCAGGCACTCATCAGCCTGCCCAGACTCTACCTCTGCAGAGACAAGCCGGGTCAGACCAGCTGCTCCTAGAGTAAGCCACTTGCCCACGTACCTGCATCGTATGGAGACAAACGTCCTGGAAGCCGGCGCCTCCACACGCTCATACCCACACGACCTACACCTAGACGAGCGCATCTGAATATGCTTATTCACCCGGACACAGGAACACTGTGCTCACTCGCTCTCACAAACAAAAGCACACGTGGAATAAGGCATTTTGTTTGAAAGCGCACTTGTTATCCACACGCTTCCAGGCCCCGCAGAGCCCCCTGGAACCCTGGTTTCCCTTCCTCCGAGCCACTCACAGGCCAGTCCCTCATCGCTGGTGCGGCCCCAGCGCGGGCAGAGCAGCCACTTTGCAGCTGTCTTGCCGGTCCTGTCAACTCTGTCCCCTGCGCATCAACTCCCGGAGGCCGGGTGGCGCCGGGCGGCCGACTCCAGGGTCCTCCCCGCCCAGGCCGCGCCGAGGGGCGGGGCCGCCGCCAGGAAATGCCCAGGAGTGTGTGTCACCTGCCCCGACGACGCGCTGCCTCCCAGGAGCGCCGCCTTAGGGGGACCCCCGAGAGCCGCGGCCGCTGCCGGGACCCCGCTCCGCAGCCATGAGCAAGCTGGGCAAGTTCTTCAAGGGGGCGGGCTCGTCCAAGAGCCGGGCGGCTCCCAGCCCCCAGGAGGCCCTGGCCCGCCTGCGGGAGACCGAGGAGATGCTGGGCAAGAAGCAAGAGTACCTGGAAAGCCGAATCCAGAGGGAGCTCAGCCTGGCCAGGAAGCATGGCACGCAGAACAAGCGAGGTAGGCTGGGGCTGCGCCGGGCGCCAGCCCTCCGCTCCGACCTCCAGCCCTTTGCTGGGCAGCCGGCCAGTGCGGCCAGCACCTGTCCCCCGGCCCCCAGGGGTGTTCCCATACCTTTCTGGGAACTGGCACTGACCCCCAGGGCCGGGCCTGCAGCGAGCTGAGCAAAGCGTGCTCCTGGGTGGCAGAGAGTCGGGGGGCGCCCAGAATCTCGGTAATCAAGATGAGCAGTATTTCATGCACTGTTTAAAAAACTCAAAGTTAATGCAAAAAACCCATGACGAACGAAAGATCACAATTTTAAATAAAGACAGGATCGGTGTTATTCTTTTTTCTTTTGCCTCTGGCTCTTGTGTGTTCTGCATGGCATTTCTTTATCTAAAATTCTTTTTTTAAATGTAATGTTTTGTTCATCATGGATTTTTCTTACATTAAGTTTGAGTCTTTAAAATATTAATTAAAATATTATTTAGCTCGATTACTGAGTTTTTTGGCTCCCCCTTAAATGTCACTCCTGGCAGGCCTCACCCCAGTCCAGCATGCTGACCCAACGCTAAATACCAAGTTTTCTGCTGTGTGTTTGTGAATTGAATCACACATCTGAACTCGCACGCAGATCTCCAGTAAAGTATATTCTAGTATGTTCTGGTTTACCTCGTGCCTCAGCTTTTGAAGATTTTTATTGGCTGTTGTACAGTTGAGGTATTATATCAAAAAAAAGTCAGCAAATTAAATATTAAATTTCCTATCACTGGCTTTTGCCGCACACAAGGGACTTTGAGTCAGTAATGATTCTTGGTGCTCCTGTCGCACTTTGAACCCTGTATTATTCTTAGCCCGAGTTAATTGCTTTCTTCGGTGTACGCCTCTCCCTATCAAGTAGATCCACGCAGCACCGTGGCACATAGAAAACCCAGCGAGGAGTCGCAATGATTTGCTCTTGTAACATGAGGTCTGTGGCAGAGCGAGCCGTAGAAGTACGGGACTCTGCTCACCACCAAACCCTGAACTTGCCTCCCTAAGTCCCACTTCTTTGGTCCTAAGAAGCCTGGGGGACTCAGCTGGCCCTAAATGATGCTGCCATGTTTACCGCAGCAAAGGGATAATGTCTCCCGAAGGTCAAGTTTCATTTTTCTCTGCTACTGCATATAACTTCTGTCCACATGATAGCCTGTTTTAGAGTTAAGTGCTGCTTTCTATTTTTACTTTATGTCTGAAATTGTTTTGGGAAGTTATTAAAAGGCAATTTCTAAAGAGAGACTGTGTCATTATGGCTTGCTAAAAAGCCCCTAGTCCTTCGGCTCCTCGGCCCTTCTTCTCCAGCCTCACATGGACTCTGATCTTCCCTTAGTGTCTGTCAAGGGCTTTTTTTTCTTTTTTGTTTTGTCATCCACTTGAATCTGTGTATGGCTTTATCTACAGTGTTTCATCAGTAAATGTTAGTTTAAAAAATCTGAAAAATTGAACATCTGCTTCTTAGAAGTGGTAAAAATATAGATTTTCTATCAGAAGGCAAAAATGTAAAATAATATAGAAATGTTCTCCAACTGGCAATGCACTAAAGTGTATACAAGCAGACTTTACAGAAACACCAAAAATAATGAAAGACAACACTAATTAAGAACATCAATCTAACTTGCTTAAATCAGAGAAGTTACAGATGCAAGTATCGAGTGCAAATAATAAATTGGTGTCAAAAAAGCCATGTATTCTTTGTCATTTGTCCTTGGGAACTTCATTGGTTCTCCAGAGGCCCTGGGAGTAGGAAGAGGCTGCTTGGTATGAGGTCATCTGTAATCTAAACTATGGAAAGAATCCAATCACTGACTGTGTTTTGGAAACGCTGTCAATATCAGCATCTTCCAAATAAGCCAGGTAACTTCATATACAGGGAGCTACTGTTTTCCATGAGCCACCCAGAAATATTTTCACACATATAAGGCCCAATATTCTTAGTACTAAATGGCCTTGTGCTCCGCGATGTCTGTGCTAGAATGGCTGTAATTTACATGATAATCAAAGTGACGTAATATACGTGCAGTTCAAATTTCACTCCTAGGAGTGGGTGGTCAGCTCATATACTGTCAAGAATACTAGTTGAGTGGCCAGCTAGTATTATATCAGAAAGGGCCGTTCTCCTGGCCAGTACATATTCTTCAGATATATTTCTCTACAAGAGAAGTTTTGACAGCATTCTGAATGTCAAAAATGGGTTTTATTGGTAAAATGGGTAACTCTAAATTAGCATAATATGTGTTAGAAATGGAATGTCAGTGAAAGTGTGGGTATTCTAAACATATCGATTGGCTAAAACTGTTTAGAGACACTTTCTGGCTCCCCATGTAAGAACAGGTGATGCGAGCGTACTAGGTGTATGAGTAACTTAACATTCGGGTGGCACCTGAGGCTGGACATCAGGTCAGAGCAGTGTCCGGTCCTCGGTTCAGGTGGATTCCTGGCTGCGGCCCCTCCTTCACGGCCTGGCATCCTGCCAGGGAATGTCGCTGTCTGCCCCCAGTGAGCCTTTCATACAAGGTGTAGGGGACCTAAAAGGACACAGAGTTGGGACTTCACTGAGCTCTTGGAACAGGTTGACAAACTGTTTTTTGCCTGCTTGACTAATGTATGTTTATTTGATAAGTGTAGATGCAGAACTTAGTCTGAAACTTGCTTTCTTTGTAACTCATAGCAAGGTTGTGCAGTGGGAGCTGGTTCTTCTCACTTCAAACTTCTTTGGCAGTTACCGTAACCTACCAAAAAGAACCTGAGCGTGCACCACCAAACTGGTTTTTCAACAGCTGTGACATTCAAAGCCCTGTTGATCTGAAAAAGTAACAGTTGGAACAAGATTTATAATTTGCTTAAAGTCTTGGGGAGGTCAGTTTATTCAGATTACTGTGATAGAACTCTGCTTTATAGCCAGTAATCTGCTTTGCAGAAAAGCAAACTTTTTATACGTCACTTAATTTTTTTCTGCTTCTGGTGAACACTGCCATCTAGAGCAGTTTTCAATCCTGGGTGTCTATTAAAGTCACCTCGACTTTAACATGGGATGGGGGTCCCATCCCCCCGCCCCCATAGAGTCTGATATAATGGGCTGGGGTGGGGCTTGGGCATCAGTATTTTTCAAAAGCGCCCCCAGGTGATTCTGCCCTGTGGCCAGCGTTAAGGATTAGGAGCCTAAATCCATAGTGACGTTAATGAGTAGAAGTACAAGTCCTCTTGGCCTTGCAGGCTTCCTAACCTTTTTCGTATGCGGCCCCCATGGGCACTGATAATATTTGTGTGCTTCAGTGGGATAACCAGAGACCAGCAGCCTGGGAACTCTTGATGCCCGAGGCTGGTGGCCTCAGGAGTGAAGATAGCGGTATCTTAGCACGCTGCAAACCCCTCCTGCCACACTGGTTTAGGGGAGCTGTTCTAACCTCCCTTATGAGGTCTTTTTTTCCTCATAATATCGCTAAGAGTTGCTCAGAGACATTTTGCTTAAATATATCTCGATCCAATTTTTACACGTTTGATAGAAAGTGACTTAGTGTTGTAGTGAAGAGCCTGGGCTTGGAAGCGGACAGCCCCGGTGTGACCCCCAGCCCTGCCCTGCCGTTTAGAAACTGACTTTAGACCGTTTCCTGGCCTCTCTAGTTCTCACTTTCCTCCTCTGCATGATGTGATGATAAGGTTGATTCTGAGCTGGGAGGATTGTTGACATTGTTGTGTGAAGGCCTGACTGCAGTGCTCAGGAAATACCAGCCAACGTTAGAGCAGTAGCATGTTGTTTTAAAGCTAAAATTGGCTTCATGGTAAGTTCCACTTACTGGCCCAAATTTTGTCTTCTGGAATAACATGGAACAAATCTACTCCATCTGTCGCATGAAGACTTTTCACCTATTTGGGGACACAGTCAATTCTCTGGGTCTCCGGTTCCGAAAGCCCACCTTTGTCATTTCCTCAGCCCCCCTTTCCTGTGCTGAAGTTTGGGGTGAGGCGAGTGAGACGCCCACGTCACTCGTGGGACCCTGAGAGTGAGTGCCCCCTTAAATTCGCACCCAGGTGCCGCTGTCTCCCCTCTCCCTAGTCCTGGACCTGTTGCTTACCTCGTCCCAGGCTGAGCAGGAACTCCAAATGTGTAATTATGTGAAAAGGGGTGGATCCAGTTGGGTTATCTGTAGGCCTCAGGCTGTTGGGTGATAGAGATGAATGGTTGAGACAGAGAGCACTCCAATTTGGCCCCAAACCCCTACTCAGGATCACCACACAGGATTCCAGTGAAAACCTGTGCTGAGGCCGTTCTACCTCTTCGTCGGTGTCTGTCTGGTGAGTGAGACCCCAAGACGTACAGACTTCCATTTGAATAAGCCGCTCACTTTGGAGCCTGGGCTGCTTTCGGCCAGGGTGAGTTTGCTTCAGAGTGGCCATGCAGACTCCGTCTTCCTAGGAGTCGGGCTGTGTGCACAGTCCCACTGGGTTAGCTCCGTGTTGGAACCTCCCAGGGCTCTTGAGTTTGTTTTTTATTCTAGTCGACTTAGAGCTGAATTCTGCAATCCCAGACAGTGAGGACCAGGATTTCTGTGTAAAGAGAACCCTGTCCGTGTCAGCTAGTTGAGTGCCGAAGTAGTGAGGGCAGAACAGGGTCAGGTAATCCGAGACAGCAGGACCCCGAGGGATGGAGGTTCCCCTGGGAGCTATCACATACCTGATGACCTCCTTTCTTGAGAGAGTTTCTCAGAACGTGGTCCTCAGATCGCCTGCATTAGAATTCCTTGAGGATGTTTGTGAAAATGTACACTCGGGAGTACTCTCCAAAAAATTCTAATTTAGAAGGTTGAGTGTAGGGTCCAGAAATCTGAACCTTGAACAAAGAACTCAGTGGTTCTGATGCCCACTGCAGTGTGAGACCCTATGATGCATTATTCAGTGAGCTGTTAAACTGGGCGCCACTACTCATACTGTTTTCTTCCCGCACCCGTTCCTATTGTTCCCCCCCTCCCCCAGCATCACTC